GATTAGCAGAATACCCACTCGTAGACCTGGGCCACTTTGCCCTAATGTCATTGATAGGATTTATACCTAGTCCATCTATCATTTACCTCGTGTATACAAGTCATGTATAATTAAGATTAGTAAGACGGTCGGATGTGCGACTCAGCCCCAGGTCCACAACCAAACAAGGAACATGAGATAGGGCAGAAGCACACATACTAAATCTGCGTAATCATAATCATATACCACCCTCGCATATACACTGAATAGTGATAGGTGGGTTGTATTCATCCTTAGCCTCTGTGCTTGAACTTGGTCTGTTGAATGAGTGGTATTTCGGGAAGGTCTGCTGAACATACAGCGGCAAGGTTTCGGAGGGTAAAGTACTCTTCGCACGAGTACTTTGGGGTTTAGAATACGAGGGACAAAACTGAGGTCTAGGTCGGATTGTCGTTACGAATGTCGAAGGTTTCGTGAATTTGACGGTCAAGGGGATAGAAACATATGAACTTAGTATGGTGAGGACCACGCCAACTCATGACGAATGATAGCAACGAACTCTTTACTGAACAAAAGTTTGGCCAATTTGAAAGAAATGTATGTTATACGATGATGTATCTCTAGTGTGCTCGACAATGTACTCTGTGTATACTTTCTAGTGCTTTCTATTTTCCCCTTGATGTTAACACTTCTACGTATCGTACCGCGATGAGCGAGTACATACTATGAAAGTGCTTTGATAACTAGTGTCGATACTTTATACTATGATCCTCCTTGGTGCCACTATGATCGCCTGGAATATACAAGTTATGAATAATTAAGATGAATTAGACAGTCGAGTGAGTAACTCTACCTCAAATCCACAACCAAACAAGGAACAAGAATTAGGTCGGAATCACTCACTCTAAGTCTGCAAAATCTTAGCTATGTACAACCCTGATGTACATACTAAGCCATCATAGCTTCTCTGAACGGATCTTTTAGTTTTCTTGAACACTGTGACTTGTTCCGGTAAGTGAGTTATTATAATTACTTTTAAGTGTTTTCCCCAAGTTTTAATTTTATACAAATATAAATTAATTTTTAAAGTAATTCTTTTATTTCGAAAACGTACAGCTGCTCGTTGGCGACTCCGGGGTAGATTCTCCTGCGGTGATCATCAGAATTCGTCCATCCGCTCCTGAGTTCTTTGTTATTGGGCAGTCCTTCCAATAGTGTCCATTCTCACCACAACCATAGCAGGCTTGGTCTTCTTCAACTCCAGGGACTTAGGAGATCGGTTGAGCCGGTGCCCTGCAGAAACGCACTGTGTGTCGCTTTCGGTGGCAGTTCAGACACTGCATTTCCCGACATACTCCGGTGTGGTGATAGTTTCACTTTCCACTTTTCGGGAGAGTTCCAGCTTATCGACTGGCATGTGCTAGAGTAGCAGGTGTTGTGGCGGCGTTTCCTGTGTTCTTCGCTTCTTCTTCCTCTTGTTCCCCGACTTATGTTTATAGTCCTCTCCCCTAGATGGCTCGGGAACGGGGACTACCACCCCATGGCAGACCCCATGGTCAATAAGCCGCTGAGCTAGGCGTTTGGCACTATTGAATATGGTTGGGTTAGAATCGGGGTAGATAAACCCCAAATGTATATTTCTATCTTCTTGCTCTCTTGGGTAACCATCCCGGGGCATAGTGGTGCCAGGTCGCTAAACCTGTCAGTGTAGGCCACTATGTCTGAGCCGACCATCGTGAGCTCCCATAGTTCTTGTTCCAGCTTTTGAACTTCGCCCCTCGGGCAATATTCTTCCAACATCATCTCTTTTAGGTTCTCCCAACCTATTGAGTTAGCCACTGGTAGGGTCGGTGACTTAACATGGCTATTCCACCATGTCAGGGCTCTGTCGGAGAAGGTGCAGGCAGCAAACTTCACTTTGCTCCCTTTTGGGCACGAACAGATTTCGAAGACCGAATCTGTTTTCTCGAACCATCGCATCAGAGCGATGACTCCACCATTTCAATTAAAGGATTTGGGTTTGCAGCTCATGAAGTCTTTATACGAACACTCCCTTGGGTGTTCGTGAGTAACCCGGGGTTGGTTAAGTGGGTACCGCTACCAGATCTGAAGGTACCACTTTCGCCGAAGTCAGCTAGAGTAGTTGCCACTGCGGCTGATATCGCTGCTTAGAGAGTAGCAGGATCGAACTGTGCAGGAGGTAGTGGCAGTTGAGTTGGAGTTATCAGAGTAGTGCGTCTGTTTGATCTGCGAGGAGGCATCTTTGCTAAAAGAATACAAAGATGAGACGGAATAAGTCTATAGCAGTGGTTTATAAGCCAAAAGCTGAATGACAAGGTTATCCTAGTTCTAAATGTACCTGGTTATGACTTTCATAGGGTTCTGGAAACAATTCATAAACGAGTCTATGCAAAATAAACTTTATGAATTAGAATGGCTATACTCGAATGAATATATGTGACCTGAATAACTGTTACCAGTTGCATGTAAAGAAAACAATCCTAACACATAGTGTGAGCAGTGTCTCCACTAGCTCATTAAGTTAAACAAGATTATTATTTATTAGTGTGACGCATAAGACGTTTTGGTTACTTCGACTGATCCTTCTTTGAAAACTTCTCTTCAACCTGCTCTTGTTCCTCCTTGACTCTTCTGTTGACTGCTATGAGGAAGTGGTTACATCTATATGGGTTTGTCGTGCGATAATGGAAGTGTCTAAAGAATCTATGAGATTAAGTGAAACATTATGGGGTGATCCTTACAGAGTCCTCCTATAATTGCACAATGTATACAAGTTGTATATAATTTAAGATTAAATAGACATTCGAATAAGTGATCCTACTCCAAAACCACAACCAAACAAGGAACAGGTAGTGAAGCATAGATCACCAATTCTAAGTCTATAAAATCTCAAATATATAAAACCTTGGAAGTCTACATTGTAAGATTATTGACCTATCCGTAAGGGTCTTTTAAGTTATCACATAAGTTATTTATAGTGCCTAAAATACTCCTATAGTATTTTAATGTAATGTACTTGGTATGTTTTAACTTGTTGTCGTGTTATAGTATCATAAAATACTCCCATAGTATCTTAACTTTATGTTCTGATCTAGAATTCCCTTGAATAGAGTTAGGTAAGTTTTAAGACTGTTGCAACACCACATCACTCCCAAACACATGTCGGTCACATCTCGAATGAATATAGTTGATCAGGCTATATTGATCCTAGCTATGATTACATAACTGTCCAGGTTTGACCGCAGTGTTCAACCTTTAAATACTTATGTTCTGTTCTTCTTGTGATACTTGTTCTAGTATGTATATATGTATAAGCACGTATGTATACTTTTATAGGGTATCGTTATATATTTAAAATATATTATTATCCAGAGCACTTCTTCCCCATTGTATTTATAATTGTATATCTTTTATCGGTTTATCTGCTCGATTTCAACGCGAAGAACTTTAGCTGATACTTCCCTAAACCCAACGCTTGAATGTACTGAGCTTAGAACCCTTAAACAGACTCTAAACAATGCTAACTGATAGCAGGAACGGGTCTGACACTTGGTTGAATTGAATCGCTGGACTTACGAGGCAAAAAATTTCGGGTTGTCACATCTTGGATTAAGCTAATATTGATTAACATGCTTAATTTTCAAGTCCATCATCCTTTCCACGGCCTATTCTGGCCATAGAGCTTTCAATGTGAGTTCTACAACCTCCTTCTCTCTTTGCGTAACCTCCTTCTACCTTATCTCAATATCCAAATATCTAATCTTTTCTAATTCCTCATCATTATTAGCTTAATCATATTCAGGATTCTCTTATGGCGGTTTAAAGATTGTAAGAGTATCGGATCCTGATGGTTTGGTTTGAACAACATTTTCCAACTTCTTTGCCAACGGTTGAAAACCAACAGTTTTCTTTCTACCAGTAGCAGACTTCTTAGTCATCTTAGGCACAACATAAGGATTCACCATATTCACTCATTCTCTCCCTTGTTGCGAACTAGCACTGCTAGTCAGAACATCTTCAGTAATAGAGTACTTGGAAAATAGGGGTTGAAGCTTTGTATCTAACAATGTTGAAATATAATCAACATACAGAACATCCTTTTCTTCAACTATCTTCATCACCCTATGATTCATCTCAAAATTTTGACCTTTGACTAAGAAAGTTCATCGTCTTTTTTTTTGCTAAATCTTCATTTAGAAAATGAAGTTCTTGCTTGAGTAAAGCAATCTTCTCATTCTTCCTTTCAAGCTAAACTTCCATCGTAATTTCGTATTCAAAATTATGAGTCAAAACTTGAATCAAATTTATAATTTTCAAATTGTAGAAAATGTTATCATTCAATATAAGCATGAGAAGCTCCTTGATCTCATTAAGAGGAGTCACCATCTTCTTTTCATGCTCTAAAACCAATTTCTTGTTTTCCGCTATCAATCGTTCATTCTTCAAAAGAAATTTCTTGATAGTTGCTTCATAAATAGAAATCATTGTTATGAAAGAAGAAGAAGAAAATGATGCTCAATGACGCCCCAACATCTTAAGCATTCTATTTAAGGCTTTTTAATCCTTCTGATTTATAATCAAGGATTATGTTTCCTTATCAGATTCACTCTCATCATTTAACAAAGAAGGTGCCAAGACAACATCAACAAAATCTGTAAAGGTAGTAGCACGAAAAGCAGTAGTCATCTCATAATCATCAAGAGATGCATCTACTAAAAACCCACTATCATCATTCTAAACTTGAGAACCTGTCTTGTTAACTGGAGGATCAATGACCGGAGTTATAATAACTGACGTGGTTGTAGTGGTTGCAGGAGGTGTAGTAGATGAAGTTATAAGTGGAGTTGTTTAACAATTAATGGTTGAGTTGTAGTCGGAGGAACAATAGGTGATGGAGATTGACATAAATTGACAAGTGGATTCTTAAGAGGTGTTTTGACAATCTCATTTTTAGTTTGAGTAAGGAAGGAAGAAGTAGTAGTAATTTGAACTAATAATACCTACGTAACCTTCGAAACTTTCATATTCTTAGTAAGTGTTGGTATCTCAGTTGTCTTTAGTTTCTTCGAAGACTTCGCGGTGTCATCTTCGCAATGATTATCAATCTCAACTCTAATATAAATGATAATGGTCTGATCCTCTTCTTCATAAACAATCAAAGGCTTTGCTTTCATATTAATATTCTTTTGCTTCTTTGGCTTCGGAACAACAACCTCTTCAACTATTTTAGCCTTTCGCTTACCACCAGCACCAGTTCTTCTAGTAACAACATTAACATCAAAAATTTCTTGTAAGTCAGCAAGAACATGCCTTGAACCAATATTTGGAATCTTCTTGTAAATGGTAATAATTGGATTACTAGAAGGAACTTTATCAAGCACCACGTCGGGAATCGGACTAACATATGAAAAGTTAGTATCTGCTGGAAACACAAGATTCGTAACATTAAGCTTCAGAATCTCAGCCATTATGACATCTTGCATCTGAGGAACCTTGTAGTAATCACGTGCATAGTTCACAATGATTAACTAGAATCGAGTACAAGAAATCTCGATATCCTTTAAAGATGAAGATGTGCTAGCACAAAATTGACTCCACAAAACTGGACCCAAGTCAATTTTGTCATCTATATAAAGCCCATACATTAGTGAAAGAAACATCTTGCTAGCATTATCAGACCCTATTGTCCTCTTAGAGAAACACTTCAAGAAGATAGTGAACATAGCATTCCATATTACATGAAATCAGGTCTTCTTAAACTTCGACAATTGACACAGAACAGGAGTATATCGAATTTGATGAAGAATCTTAAACATGTTGGTCGATGTCAGATTATCAAGATGATACAGAGATTCATCGATGGGTAAACCCAGAAATTTGCGAAAGTTTGCTTTAGAAATTGCAGTTTTATGCCCCTAAATTTCAAAGTACGTAAGTGATTTCTTCAAGTGTTGTAACTTTCAGTTGAGTAGACAAGGATTAAAGCAGAAAGAGGAGCTCCTTCAAACAGTGTAAGTGATTTCTTCAAGATTAAAGCATTGATACATTCGATAAATGGAAAGAGTAAAATAATAATCATACTAATCCATGAATGATACGTGATCAGCAGCAATAACCATTATTGAATACTTGATAAGAACACGAAGAACATAGATGAAGGTTCAAAGGAATTGCTAGGTAATTACTTAAAGGTAATTTTAGAGCATAAAGAGGTAAAAGGGTAAAGCAATAGGTATTTATACAAATAAGGGAATTCAAACGGTTAAAAACTTAATTTGAAAAGACCTCGAATAAGTGGAGAGAGAAACCGCAAATTCCAACATTTAATGCCCATCCAATCATAACAAAGATGTCATTGTTATTACTAATGCTCATTATCACGGAAAATCGGACCAGTTAAGTCAAGCTAGCTAAGCACCTTTGAAACTAAAAACACATCATCTGTCCTCCATCAGAGTCGTAGTAATAAAAATCATCTTTTGCAATTACGATAAATATTTCACCATCAGAATAAAAATCACTATCAAAACAATCATCACCATCAGAATAAGAACCATTTTCGTAACCATAACTAGGTTTAGGATTTTGGTGTTTCAACGCAACCATGTTAACAACGATTGGAATCATAAACATAAAGTTTGTTAAACCTAGATTTCAAGTTGGAATTCACCTGGAATATCAACGGTTTTAAGTGATGTGTATGAAATATGTTAAAGAAAATAGATAGAAGAAGGCAAAAGTTTTTGGTATTTCACTAAAATCATAGTAACAATTATTTTAGATCATAACTCACTACAAATATCTCTCAATCTTTCACTCAACCTAAACTACTTCTAAACAATATACACTGATAAAGAGCTAATTACAGAACTCTAACAGATGAACACACGATCAACAAATAGATACAGAACAATAGCTAACATCAAACAACTCTTGAGAGAGAAAACCCTAGATCTGATCTAAACAACTGAACGAATGACCCCAACATCTTCTCTCTCTTTATTTATACTCTGGATACCAAATACGGATATAATACGAACCGACTTGACCCAAAATATAACCCGTGTGTTTCCGTAAGAATTTCAACCTGCATAACACTCAACCCCTTGCAGAATACAATCTTTACACAATACACCCTTTATAATAAATTACTTTATAATAAATATGAGATTGTAAAAATATAACATATTTTCAACATAAACAGATAATTGGAAAACCATAACTTCAAGTTGGTATATACTTGAGATATCAAGGGTTTTTTTTTTGCAATTGTGTGATGTGATAAAGAAATGAGATAGAAGATGGTTACGATGTTGGTTTTTCACAAAAACCATGGTAATAATGATTTAAGATCACTAACACAGACTTTGTTAATCGTAATTTCAAGTTGGTATAAACTTGATATATCAAGGTTTATGTGAAATTGTGTGAGGTGAAAACGAAGTAAGATAAATTATGGTAAGGATGTTGGTATTTCACAAAAATCATGGTTACAATGATTTTTGATCATAAATACAGATTTTGTTAAACCATAATTTCAAATTAGTATAAACTTGAAATATCAAGGGTTTTAGTGATAAAATCATCATTACATTGCGAAAATATAAAATTATATCACCAATACCTTAGTTTCAGTCTACAACAATAGATGTTCACCGTCAATTAATTATCATTTATGCACGAAATCACCATAAAAGAAAATTGTTTTCGGATTTTTCAAAAAAAAAATTAAAAAAATATATATATTTTGATTTTTCAAATTTTGAAAAAGAAAATCTTTTTGGATTTTTCAAAATTTTAAAGAGAAAATATTTTTGGATTTTTTTAAATTTTTAAGAAAGAAAATTATTTTCGGATTTTTTAAAATTTTTAAGAAAGAAAATATTTTTGGATTTTTGAAATTTTAAGAACTCAAAAATTGAAGACCCTGACGAACTATGACGGCTCGGAGTCCATCACAAATGAATAGTAAACTAAATAAAGCAAATAAACAAACTACGACGCACTCCGATGGATCGAAACCCATCAGAAATGAACAGTAACAGCAAAAAGTGAAATTGGTGTGTAAGATAAAACAGTGAAATTTTACCTACTCTGATACGTTCTACTGCCTCAGAGCCCTTCAGAGTTGAAAAATAAACACTTTCAATTTGATTTTGGAACGGATTCAACTTCCATCATTCCAAGTCCTTGAAGAATACGATTAAAACCAACTTCAGGTAATGCCTTTGTGAAGATATCTACAATTTGATCTGGTGATTTAACAAAATGAATCTCCACGTTTCCATATTCCACATGATCTTTGATAAAATGATATCGAAATGCGATATGCTTTATCTTTGAATGTAGAACTGGATTGTGACATATTTTGTTAGCACTTACAGAGTCACAATACAACGGAATCTTCTTCATGTTTATGGCATAATCTCTTAATTGACTTTGAATCCATATAATTTGAGAAGTACAAGCAGCCGCAACTATGTATTCAACCTCCATAGTAGAAAGTGAAATACATGTTTGTTTCTTAGATTGCCAACTAATAAGCTTTCCCTCCAAGAACTGACACCCTCTAGTTGTGCTTTTGATATCCAAACCACATCCACCAAGATCAACGTCGGAGTATGCTTGTACAAAAAAACTTGTATTTATTGGATACCACAAGCCTAAGGATGTTATTTTGTGAAGGTATCAAAATATATTCTTCACAGCCATCATATGCGGTTCCCTTGAATTCGAATGATTTGTAGCACAGTAACAAATAGCAAACATGATATAAGGTCTATTAAATGTGAGATTTAATAAGGACCCAATCATACTACAATATAGTGTAATGTCAGTTGTTGTTTTGTCTAGTGAAAGTGTGAGCTTCGTTCCAAACGTCATCGGTTTTTTGACCTTTAAATCACCATTTATTCTAAACGTCATTAATAAGGTCTTTGTGAAGACTTCCTGATCGATGAAAATTCCCTCTCTACTATGTATTATGTTTTAACCAAGGAAAAAGTAAATAGGACCCATGTATTTCAAATTTAGTTTCCATTAAAGTTCGAAATTCAACAGTCAATTTAGGATCTGTTGAACCGAAAATAATATCATCAGCATAAATTTGAATAACCATCAAATGTTCCCTAGCCTTTTTGCGAAAGAAAGTCAGATAAACCGAACCTTGTTTAAATTTTGATTGTTTAAGAAAGCGAGTAAGACTTTCATACCATGACCTCAGAGCTTGTTTTAGACCATAAACAAATTTATCGAGAATATAACAATGATCTGGATTTTTTTCATTCACAAAACCTGGAGGTTGTTCAACATACACAGTTTCTCAAACCTCATCATTAAAAAATGCACACTTGACATCCATTTGAAAAACTTCAAAGTTCTTATGTGGAACACAAGCTAAGAAAAAACGAACGGCTTCAATTCTTGCAACAGGAGCAAACGTTTTCCGTAGTCAATTCCTTCCTCTTGATAATAGCCCTTCACAATGAGCCTTACTTTGTTTCGCACCACATTACCTTCTTTATCCAACTTATTTCTGAAAACCTACTTTAGACCTACCACTAAATCATCTGGAGGTGTTGGAATTAAATGCCAAACTTTATTTCTTTGAAATTCATTCAACTCGACTTGCATTGCTTCAACCCAATCAGAATGATCTAGAGCCATTTTCACTGTATTTAGTTCACTTTTGGAAATGAATGAATTAAACATGCAAAATTCTTGATTTGTGTTTAACAAATCTTGTTTTTCCTTTTGTTGACGGAGTAGGAAGACCCTCCCCCTCAACAATAGGTTGAATATAAGGTTCTTTGACATCTTGTGCATTCGAAGTAACAACTTCATCACCAACAAGACTATCAGAATTTGGTCGTAAAGGCTCCCCTTACAATTGAACTTTAATATCAGCAACTGCTTCATCAACAAGCTTTAGCAATTCATATTATTGATTATCAGTGGCCCTTGCTTCAGAATTATGAGTACTTTCAGGTTCATCAAAGAAAAAGATGAAATCATAATCAAAGGATGTAATTTGAGAAGATTTGGAACATGATTGAGGAAAAATTTCTTCACACGGAATCACTTCACTTTGAAAAGATTTGATGAATTTGTCATCAAATGCAATGTAGTACCTTCTTCAATCTTTCGATACTTATCATTGAGAAATCTATAAGCTTTTGAAGTAAGTGAATATCCCAAGAAAATAGCTTCATCAGCCTTTGCATCAAAATTGTTACGATGCTCCTTGGAATTGAAAATAAAGCACCTAGAGCTAAATGCATGAAATAATTTAACAATATATGTAACGACCCAAATTTTACAAAGAAATTTTTCATTTTTAATTAGTCAATCATTATTCATAAAACATAAAGATTCCAATAATTGTTTTCAGAACCACCAACATTACAACATTATTATTTTCAAAACATCAGAGTGTCCCCCAAACCAGATCGGAAAAGAGAGATAGAGTGCACGCCGCATCATC